TTTAAATAAAATATTTATTATATTTTAAATAATTTAATAAAAAAGAAAATAGGTAATTACTTTTTATTTAAAAATTAAGTGGGTAATGTTTAAAAAAAAGTGAATTAGTGATTTAATTGTTCAAATATTTTAAAATACCCCCTCAACTTCCTTATGTTTTTTATCATCGTATTCCAACACCAACCGAAACCGATTAAGAACCCATCAAGTTGAATCGGAACCCATAGAGATCGATTTAGAACTTATCGGTTCATTTATAGTGTGTTTGTATATGTAAAACCATAACTGACCACTTTCATCTGAATGAATCGGGAACCTATCGAGACGAATTGGGAACCCATCTGGAGCAATCAAGATGAATATTATGGTGAAAATTAATATTTGTGATTATTTTCATACTTATATGAATACAAGAGAGCTGTTGTATACACATGAACATACATAAATATTCATGATGAATAATATATATATTTATGATGAATGTTATGGTGAAAACGCACATTCATGATGAATATCATATTTGATGTTTGTTAAAGTTTCGGCCATGAAGATAAAATTAGGTATAAAAAAGGTAGTTAAATATAGATGAAGTCATATGGATGTATATGAAGATTTTTTTCTCACCACAGATCGAAACCCAATCTACATATATATTGTTGGTCTCAGCTATTGGATTTGTAAATAATACATAGCATCTGATCAAACACTTAGAAAGAAATTCTTATAATATTGTCTTACAATAAATAAATCCAATGAATTTCATCCACTGGATATAAAGGATTAAACATCCGAACCTCAAGCTTAAGGTTTCAGATGTTGAATATTCATCTAATCTTTAACTTATATAAATTACAAAAATTAAATCTTCTGTCTTGAATATTTTTAATCCAATGAGGAGAATCCGATTGATATACTTCTTGATCATTTAATCTTGAGTTTCAAGAAACCACAATTTTTTTTATTAACCTGGATATCTAACCCGCTATGTGAGCCGACTAATCCCAGGGCGACCACCTGCTTTGCAGATAGCCCGGAGTCACCGCATTTGAATCTCGTGGCCACAAGGGAATTTTTATTCCTCCTTGGATTTGAACCTGGGACTTCCAAGTATTTTTGACCTTTGGAGCCAAGCTCAAACCAATCAGACACCACCCTTGTGGTTATAAACCACAATTTATACCAAGTCATTTTGGAATCGATGAATCATCTTCATAAATATTCTGTAGCTGGAAATCAGATGTATAACTTATATTTCGGAATAGAAAGAGATAAGATTTTATTTTTACTTGTAAAAGTCTTCTAACTATCTATATTATCCAAGAACGATATGCTTTCAAAAAAATCGAAGACTAGTTGAAATGAGGTCAAGATTGTCACCAAAGCGGATTGGTTTGTCATCTAGCAATAAAAAGAAGACCAACTCCTCCTACACTCATCCTTTAGTAGTCTGACAAATACTACCACTACCAAGCCAGATTTTGAAGTGTAAACTTGTCCAGCAAGTTTGGCTTACCAACTCCTCCTAGAATCATATTTTATGAGAACATGCACAACATATCAGCCAGAGTAAGTTCTAAAGCACTATTTTATTAATGTCATACTTCATTTACTATTCCCTTGGCATACAAAAGGATAGATAGGATAACAAGTATCTACATCAACAACAAATGCTGAAATGAAGAGTACAAACATGCATAGATCAACAAATCAGATGAAGACACGTGTTAAAATAGGACAGTAGCATTTAACGCAATGAAGGCCATAAAAGGTCATCCTTGTCATTCAATGTTATTCACCCGTTTTGAAAGAATTTCTATGTGATAGTTTCTTAAGCAAAATTGGCATCAACATTTGAAGAACTATCTTAGTCCTTCGGATTTGAAAGAGTCCTTCTTCTCTCACTCTTTCAATGTTAGCAAATTTGTCACCAGTTAGATTGTTTAGGATCACAGCTATTAACTTCCTAGCTTTCTGCAACAAATCTGTAACACTTTGTTTT